GATCAATCAGTAGGAAAGGGGGTGGGGAATTTTCCTGCAGACTTTTTTTGGGATTTTCCCAGGGTCTCTGGTCCGTGGGATTTAAAATTACGAGTTTGGTAGTCCCTGAAATCCAAAAGGTTGGTGACCCTTACTCTAATCCAACCCCCTGCTTAGGAAGGAAATTCTACATCACTTCAGACAAATGGTTATCCAACATCTTTTTAAAAACTTCCAGTGTTGGAGCATTCACAACTTCTGGAGGCAAGTTGTTCCACTGATTGTTTCTAATTGTTCTAACTGTCAGGAAATTTCTCCTTAGTTCTAAGTTGCTTCTCTCCTTGATTAGTTTCCACCCATTGCTTCTTGTCCTGCCCTCGGGTGCTTTGGAGAATAGCTTGACTCCCTCTTCTTTGTGGTAACCCCTGAGATATTGGAACACTGCTATCCTGTCTCCCCGAGTCCTTCTTTTCATTAAACTAGACATACCCAGTTCCTGCAACTGTACTTCATGTTTTAGCCCCCAGTCCCCTAATCATCTTTGTTGCTCTTCTCTGCACTCTTTCTAGAATCTCAACATCTTTTGGACAAATGGTTCTCTTCTTAAAAACCTCCAGTGTTGGGGCACCCACAACTTCTGGAGCCAAGTCATCCCACTGATTAATTTTTCTTTTATTAGGACATTTCTTCTTAGTTCTAAGTTGCTTCTCTCCTTGATTAGTTTCCATCCAGTGCTTCTTGTCCTTCCCTCAGGTGCTTTGGAGAATAGGTTGACTCTCTCTTCTTTGTGGCAGCCTCTTAGATGGAACACTGCTATCATGTCAACCTGGGTCTTTTCATTAAACCAGACATAGCCAATTCCTGCAACCATTCTGGGAAAATGAAGGGGTTCAGGGCAGGAGGTGAACTGTGCCAGAAGATACTAACTAGAAGCCTTGGCAGAATGTTAGAAAAGAGCAAAGTAGTGGCACAAAGAATAAGAAATTAACCTATTTGAAAACCCCAAAGAATGCCTTATGTACTAACTGTATAGGTATTTCCATCTGAGAGATTGCCAAATGACATGCCAGAGGAACTTGAACATTTAAAAACTGAAATAAATGCCATGGAAGAACATTTACCTAAGAAAGGTCTCTTGTGAAGATCAAAAATCCTGGCATCTATGGAAATAAGTAAACTGAGACATATTAAAGAATAGGTTTCAGATAAGTCTACACAGAATACAATGGTCCTATTCAGTTTAAGATCTGTAGAAGAATTTTCTTTTTCGTTGCTCAACAAGTGATATTAGCATTTGTAACTCAGTAATTATAGGACCAAATTACAATGCTTATTTTATCAGGCCACTGCATTTTAAAGATTAAGGGATTTGTGGGTGTTTGAATTTGAGTTCAGCCCTTTACTTATAGAAGGCAAGGAGAGGCCATGATATATTTTTAATTATAACTTCACGAAGTAAAAACAACTAATGTGATTATTTTCATAGTAGTGAATAACTTCCTCTACCATATTAAAAATATTAAGTGATTGGCAAGGCTTGAGAGGATCCATGGGGCCTTAAATTATTGCACCTTTTGAGTATGGGCAAAGTTTGTATCAGTTTGTAAACTCCTGCAATATCTATCACAGTGTGCAAAAATGATAATAGGTTCTACAGTACAAAAGGGATTCTATGGTTCCATTCTTATTTAGCTGATAAACAATTGTTGGGCTTGCCAAAAGCAAATATAATTTAAGCAGCCTATGTTAATTAGCAAAATTGCAGAACATCACATAATATGACATAAAAAATTACATTGATGCAGAATGGTCAGTTCCTTAGGAGTAAGACCCACTAACTCATCAACCCATCAAACTCATTAACCCATCAAACTAGGAAGTTTTATACAGTAGATGATAATGAGTGCCTGGAATTGTACCTAATTCAAGGTTACAGCTTGGATTCTTCTGCAATGGGTGTAGTAAAACCTTTATCATATACACAGTGATTGTATCTATGTAGATATTAAGAGTGTGATTATATTATTAGAAAAAAATTTCTGTCTGCATAAAGAGTATCAGCTCAGCATTCCAGCTTAAGAAATCTCACATATCCTAGGAGCAATTTTGTTAGTATATGACTAGAAAGGGAATAATGTTAATTGTAAACCAGCATCAATCTTGTTTCAGCCCATCAAATTTGAATGAGTTGCCAAAGGAATGTTGCAACAATGGTGGTGACATAATAATTGCCAACATCTTGATTTATACATTAAGAGAATGAATGTATTTTTCACTAGCAATGGAGCATAAGCATAAGCTTTAAGAGTCTGAATTCACCAAGCCTTAAGACATTTTCTGAGGTTTTTGGCAAAGATCAGCCCAGAACCTGAAGAACCATTGTGGGGGGAGGGTGACAAAAGCATCATTGCACTGAAATGCAACTTTCACCCCTTTTGTATGCATGCCATGATGTTGCACACACATACAAAGGGGTGGAATTTACAGCACGATGCCTCTTGTTATTTGGATTCTGTGGACATCTCTGACAGAAAATTCTTCAGCTAGTCACAATGAAGCTAAAGTGATGATCATGATCTCACAGCACAAGCTTCACCCTTTGTGAACTTGCAGATAACATGATAACATGAGCACCAAGGGAATAGAGTTTGCATTGTATTGTGGCAAAACACATTTCATCACTTCTGCAGAAGTCTGACATGGATGAAGGGAGAGGGATGATGGCATATACATGGCAATTAGAATACCCAAATTCCACATCTCAAGTACTTGTGTCAGATTCAAGATGTAAGCCCTTATGGTACCATTTGCACAATGAAGACATTGCTCATGTGCCATTATTTGGGCATCTCTATGGTTTGCTGTACACTCTCATTTTCATTTTCTGTATCTATCATTTGTTCTTATGCTTTGTTCTTTCTTAGTCATAATATTGCCTGGATAATAATGCTATTTATATTTCTATTAGCTTTTCAGAATGCACCTTACAGTTTTGAGGATATTAGTGGCTGATAGTTCCACTAATCTCCATTAGTTATTTTGGTGGTCAGCAATCCGTTTTATGGCATTAGCAGTCTTCAAACCAGCAAGAGAAGTGGGAATCTTCAAAAAAAATGGTGATACATTTCATAGTATAATAGTAAGATGGTTCTGATAATGTGCATAGGCATTCATAGGCAATGATAAAGTGATCCTGGAAGAGTTGGATCCTGAGCTTGATCACCAGCACACAAAAACAATCATTACTAAGGGAAATAATTAAAACTTCTATGGAAGAATTGGATTGAATAGACCTTTAAAATATTCAACTAAAAATGAATATAAATTGTATTTAAGTGTGCACTGGAACTTTTTTAGGCTTGATTTTTTTAAAAAATATCATTGACTTTATATCACCAAATTGAAGAATGTAATACAGGTATCCTCAACCTGAAGCAGGGTGGAAAGTTACCAGAAAAGTATTCTTATAATTAGCAGAAGTTTCTTAGCTTATATCGCAAATATTATAGAAGTTGCTTAATATGATATTGTGAAAACCAGAAAATTGCTGAATCTAAGTCTAAGAATAATGACCTATGAACTAGATATGTTCCTGTAAACAGCTAAATGGCAAGGGTGACAAGGGTGGGTATGGAAAATAACAGATGGTGTAAGATAAGTATTTATATGCTGAATTGTTCTGTCTCACCTGTGGCCACAAGGTGAGAGTCCAAATGTCCAAAGGAAAAAACACGAACAGACAATATCAGGAACAACAGAGTTAACTTTCCTCTGGCTGAAGTCATCGTCGGCAGCTTTCCCAGAAGCTGTCTGCAAATCCAGATAATGAGCAGCACTATAAATCAGAGCCGAACGGCAAACAGAAAACTTTTTCCAACGTAAATAACAAAGTTTGACCCGAACGGGGATTCCAAGCTAACACGCCTCCTTATATTCCTTGAAGGGGCATGTCAGTCTCTCTACTCAGTCCCTGATTTGATGTTTCCTTTCAATTTGTGCTTGACGCCTCAGCCTACGTCTAGTCCTTACATCAACCCAACATTCATTGGCTTGATCACCACCCAAGGACTCCGGCACGTTCTGTCGATCATCTGCTGACACCTGAGGCATAATTGATGAGGAAAGTTCTGGAGAAGATGGTGATTCCGACACTTCCTCATCCTCCTGGCTCACGTCTGCATCTCCCATTAAAGCAGGCTCAAATCCCAATGCCAAACCCTCCTCATCACTCGAACCTGTGTCTTCTGACACATCAGACTCAAAGCGTACAGCAGGCTCAAACCTCCCAGTCACAACATTTTTGCACAAAATTGTGCAAAATGGCTAATTAGACTTGCTTCCCCCTTTTGTAGTACACTGAGACTGGGAGCTGCATAGAACTAACCCCTCAAGAATAGCCGGGGGTTCAGAATTTGCCATGCTAATGCTCTGAAACTTTTGCACAAATAAAGCTGTATTCTCCTACCCTTGGTGGTCTTGTGTCCTGATTTGGAAACAGTATCAGCTACAACAAACCTACGACCAGAATTGAGCCTAAAATTGATGTTACTAAGTGAGAAATGTGTTAAGTGAGCTTTGCCCCATTTTACGACTTTTCTTGCCACATTAGTTCAGTGAATCATTGCAGTTGTTAAGTTAGTAACATGGTTTTAAGTGAATCTGGTTTCCCCACTGACTTTTCTTGTCAGAAGGTTATAAAAGCTGATTACTTGACCACAGGCTATTGCAACTGCCATAAATAAGAGGCAGTTTTCAAGCATCTGAATTTTGATCACATGACCATGGGGATGCTGCAATGGTCATAAGTGTGAAAATGGTCATAAGCAGGGGTGGGATTCTACCGGTTCTGTCCATTTCTGTAGAACTGGTTGCTCTGAAGAGCAGAAAACAGAGAGCTTACATAGAACCGGTTCTATGTTTGCTGCTCTTTGGGCCCATCCGCCTGCCTGAGCTCTTACCTGACCTTTTTCCTTCTTTTTCAACCACAGCTGCTTTGCGCGACACAGCTGCAGTTGAAAAAGCAGGAAAAAGTGCTTTTTCAACTGCTGCACACCTGCGCGCAGTGCTGCTCTGCTGTCCAGGCAGCTAGCTGATTATGACATACACACGCGCACAGCAAAATGTAAAACCACTGAACTGGTAGTTACACCGACCAGATCCCACCCCTGGTCATGTCACTTTTTTTCAGTGCCAATAATACTAGAGTACTCGATGTAGATTTTCGTGTATTTATGTCTATAGAAAAACTTGCATCAGCATATGCAGTTAAATTCAGTTCATCTTTAGGCTCCAAATACAATGTATAATGCTTTGTTTGTTTTAAATATCTTAACACACGCTTAGCAGCTTGCCAGTGCCTTTCAGTTGGCTCAGCATTAAATCTTGATAATTGATTAACACAGTATGCTATATCTGGCCTTGACCAATTACTGAGATAAGATAAACTACCAATCAAGGACTGATAAATGTTCTTATCAAAAATAGGACTTTGAACATCACTGTGGCAAAACTCCTGGCTCATTGGTGTTTTAGCCAGCTTACAAAATTCCATTTTAAAACTTTTTAGTAATTGGTTAATTTTGTCTGCCTGTGAGATATCCTCCCCTAGTTCTTTCTATCTTTAAACCAGGATATTGTTTGATTTCTCCTGTTTTATCTTACATTTCTTCTCTAACAGTGAGATTATTTTAGTAGCTTCTTTTCAGTTTTGGTGATTAATGCTATGTCATCAGTAAACAATAGCAACAATGAAATTACACCATTTTTTTTTCCTTTTGAACAAACATGGATCAGCCATGCAGCTACAAAGCCTATCTTAGTTAATTCTTTAACTATACATTGGTTCCACACATATCCTGATTGCTTCAAACCATAAAGACTCTTTTTTAATTTCCAGCAATCAGTTGTATTATCATTTTTGATACCTAAAGTAGGATCATGGACGCATGCGCAGACACGTGGCGCATGCGGAGGGTCATGTGCACATGCGTATGGGGTGTGTGGAGCCCCCCTGAACACATGGCCTTCTGGCTGCTGGCATGCGAGTGCACACGCACAAGTGTGCATGCGATTTTTGGCACGGGAGCCCAAAAAGGTTAGCCACCACTGCTCTAAACTTTCTCTCCTCCACCTCACATCTAAGACATCTCTGATAACCTTCTCAGATAAAACCTTGGGAAGGAGGAGAAGGGTTGCCTATACTCTTCTTAGGACCAAGGACAATTTGCTTCTGTAGCACCAACACATGACAAAGGAGTGTGTTGCAATGGTGCATGCAGATGTGCTGTCTCTACATCTAAATGATTTACAATGTATTTCTCCTTAGCTGCCCACACTAATGCTGCTCTTAATGTAGTAGCCTTCAGACTAGATGCAAAAACCTCATCGTAGTCATTTGCTGTCTGATTGAACCCTTGTGCTACTAACCTGGCTTTATGGATAACAGTCCCATCTACACCTGTCTTTAGTTTATAAATCCATTTACATCCTGTGGCATGTTTACCTGGTGGTAACTTAACATTTTTGTATACCTCCAACTTTTTTAATGATTCCAGTTCCTTATCCATTGCTTCCTGCCAAGCAGCCTGATCCTTAGTAGGATACAGTTTTAGTTCACTATAGTTACTTGGAACTGTATTCACTTGGCATACAACACTAGCCTGATATCTATCAGGTGGTCATGTTACTCAGGTTGAACATCTTGGTAATACAGGGATAACTGGTGGACTCACCTGTGCCACCTGCTCCTGTTCTTCTACCTCCTCCTGTGACTGTTCTACTACTTCCTCCTGTGCCTGTTCTTCCTCTTTAATGGCTTTTCATGGTTTACTTACTTCATCTTTAGGGACTATTTGGGTGTCAATAATAATATCATTGCTGGATTCCTGTTCCAGTTTATTCCACCCAACGTGCTCAAGAAATTTTGCACGAGCACTACAATAAACATGGGCTGTGCCTTGATCCCAAAATCTAAACGATCTATGGTTGGCCTTGTAACCTACAAAAAATAACTTCTTAGCTCTATGTTGCCCTTTCAATCTTACTTGTGAGGGAATATGCACCCATGCTGGAGCTCCAAATGTGTGTAGGTAACTTAAATTTGGTTTTCTGCCATGCCAACGAGTGAATGGCAATTCACCAGTTGTTGTATTAACTACATTGTTTAACCCATGGTTGCTACGTATTATGGCTTCACCACACAGTGTTTCAGGTAAACCTGAATCAGATAATATAGTGCGAGCCATGGCTTGTAATGTTTGTCCTCTTTGTTCTACAAACAAGTTATGTTGTGGTCTGTAAGATTCAGAATGTTTATGCTGGACACCAGCCAATTTCAACATTGTTTGGAATCTTTTGTTAACAAATTCAGTCCTGTTATCAGTAACTAAAGCAATTATTTTACTCCTCATTTTTCTCTCAGCAAACCTTAACCAGTTAAAGAAATGTTGGAATGTTTTTGTTTTGTTTTTCATAAGATAGCAAAAACCATATCGTGAGTAATGGTCCATAATACTCAAAATATAGCAGGCATCTCCCAAACTAGATTTCTTAGGACCAATTATGTCAGCAAAAACAACCTCTAAAGGTTCTTTGGTCTTAAAACCATTCAGTCTGTTTGCTGGAGTAACCTTGCTTTTCTCTTGGCTACAAGCATTACAGTTTAAATACTTGCTACAGGGTTTCAATTTTACTCCTTCTGACAATTCAACAGTTTGTTTGAGCATTTTGAAATTAATGTGCCCTAGACGTCTATGCAGTAAATGTGTACATTCATCATGTGGTTTAACAGTGTTATAAACTGAGTTAACCATCTTCAACTGGTCATCATGTATCACATATAAATCATTCTCTAGATTAGCAGTAACACTTTTACCCTCTTTCTCTATTATACAGTTATCTCCCCTAAAGGTTTCTACATAACCAAGATTAACTAAAGCCCTTACTGATAGCAAATTAAATTTCAGTTTAGGTACATATAACATAGTTAAATGTTCATTTACACAAGAACAATATGCAGTACCTTGACCGGAAGCCTTCATCTTCCATCCATTTGCCAATGATACATGTTGCTTACTTGTAGACATCTTTACAAACCTTTTTCTATCTTTAGTAATGCATTGCGATGCTCCACTATCAACAACCCACAAATCATGGTTTACAGTTGAATTGCTGGACATAGCTAAACTAACATTCTTCTTAGCCTTCTGGTGATTACCAATATTTTGTCATTTTCCCTTCTTACAGAATCTAGCTATATGTCCCCTAGCCCCACAAGAAAAACATTTCCTAACAGTATAGGCAGTTGAAGACAAATCCTCTTCTTGTGGTTGTTCCTTCCTCAATTGGTCCCTATCCAGTCGTCTTCTTGCTTCTTCTAACAATGTTCCAGTTATGTCACTCAATGACAGTTTATCTCTGGGCAGGACTTCCAGGGAAGACACATAATCATCATAACTTTCATCCAATGAGGAAAGGATGATGTAAACTTGATGCAGCTCTGAAAATATCAGTTCCTTTTCATGTAGCTCCTGAAAAGTTCTTTTCATGAAGTTCAAATGAGCTAACATATCTCCACCTTTCAGAAGACGTGCTCTAAACAGTTTATGTGTAAGATGTATGTGTGCACCTACACTGTCACAAACATAAATCGTCTTCAAATTCTCCCATCTTTACCAGGATAGTAACCCACAATTAAACAGTAAACAGCTGTCTGTATGCAGTACTGTGTATTCATGCCAACTCTCAGTTATCTGAGCCTGGTATGGCCTGGGCCCATAACCAGTGTTGAGGTAATTCCCCTTTAGGAGAATGAGCGCATGCAGGGAGATGTAGTGAGAGTGGTGAAGAATAACACACACACAGCACATAGATACACTGTATAGTTAATGTAGGTTTTTACTTCCATTAAATGTTTAAGCACAGTCCAAGATAAGCAGTCCAAGTCATTCACAGGTAAAGCAGTTAGTTTTCTTTTCAGGGATAATCCAAATATCAAAGTCCAGTATCAAAAAAACAGTTCAGTGACAGACATACATCAATGATCAGTAACAATCATTAGGAGGAATGGCAAAACTCTCCAACAGAAAGGAACAGAAACTCACTGAGACTGAGACTAAACAATCCAGGTTTCTGGCTTCATCTTATGGCCATTTGCGGAACCACACCCATTTTAGTATTCTCTTAAAGATACAGTATTAAAATGTCTATCCTGGTTTATATATTTCCAACCCAAATTATTGTCAGGTGACTTACATTCCTAATACCATTGTAATTTCAAACAGTCACTAAATGAACTGTTGTAAGTTGAGGACTATCTGTATTGATGTTTGTCATGTATCCAATCATAGTGCAGTTAACTTGAAAGTTGTGTTTCAGAAACTGGTTAAAGTATCAAGAAATTGCTCTTTCAGTGTTTCCCTATTGAATTATAAAGACTTCATACAACAAATGCTGATAGCGATCTTACAATACTCTGATTTGAATTCAGAAACATCAAATGCCCAAATTTTTGAGTGGGAAGCATACAAAACATATTTGAAGTCAAATAATTCCTTATGCATCATACAAAGATAAGATTAAAAATAAAAGAGTAAATAATTTGAAAGATGAACTGAAACATTTATGGGCACTGTTACTTAAATGCCCATGTTTTATACTGAAAAAGAAATATGATTAAGTGTTATCATATAACAGCAGACAAAAGTCATGTTGATATGTTTATGACAGAGATACAGGGAGAACAGTGAAATATCTGGCAAAATCTTAGCTAATTGCTTAAAAAAAAATAGGACAATGATTCCAATTATTACAGGCCAAAAACATGAAATATATAAAACTGGGTGTACAAAAAAGTATTTCTGGAATGATATTGCACATTACACAACATTTACTGGGTTTACTTCTTGGAAACATTCATATACAACCACAACTTCCTATATATCATGAACCATTTTTACATTTCTTTTAAAGGTTGGAAGTCTGACCGTAAGAAATTTTCCAAACAGAGGTTTGAAGGTTAAGTGGAAGGAACAGA